GCCTTGGGTGCCATCTTACCGCAAGGTGTTAAACCATTAATGAGCAGTTTAACCCCAATGTTTGGAATATGATTTCCCTTCATTTCCCATTTAATGTCACTTCACTTCCCATGTAGCTTCGAGGCTTCAATCAGGAAGCCTCAGAACGAGTGCCGCTGGTAGACCATCAGCAGACACTCACAGCCTATCAGTAACTCTCCACTGAAAACAAATTGGTAAAAGTTAGTAAATAGTTGTACTAATTTTCCTGGATGGGAAGCTGCTGATGGGCTGGGACTGTCAGCAGATGCTCTCAGCCCATCAGCGTTGGCTGAACTTGTTTGATGTTTTGGGCTTGCAGAGTTAGTGAAGAGGAAGAGGCAGAGTGAACTGTTAATGGTTTAACCCTTTGAGGTAAGATGGCACCCAGGACCTCCTCACACTGTATGAACTCCATGGTAATGAAGTTGTTATGATGTCCAAAATAGTCCTTTAATTTTGAGTTGGATATTAAGAATAGTTGGTGAATCTATTTTTATTTTTTACCCAGAGGCATTATGATATAGAGCTGTCAGATCCTGGCAAACATGGAGAGCTCTCTGGTATGCCCACTATCGTGTCCTGTTCTAAAGATCAAGAATCCCCAAAAAGTTAAACTTTTTGGGATAAAGGTTAGACAAATATCTTCTTATTATAAAAATCACCTTTGTATTATGTTAATTCATTTATTTATGATTTAGAGATTTACTATAAATGTATTACATGTACAATCTGTATCTTTTAAAAACTTCTTGGCTGTGTTTAAGAAGCTCATTTTGTACTTCTCAAGTGAGCATCTTCCACCTTTTCCTACATGCATTCTACATCTTTACGGCCCTTACCTTTCAACATGCATACCCAATAGTGCTCCATGTCAGCTGTCATTACAGTTTCACTTTGGAAAATGAGACATTAGTTGGGACATTTTTGCCATGTATACATTGACCAGGCCAACCTTGTGAGTTTGTCAGGCATTCCTTCCTTTGAAAAATAAAAGCACAGGAACAATAAGTAAAGAAGATTTACTAGCAAGCATATGTGAAAGGGGCATCCAAAAGTTAGATCATGAGAATGTAGAATTACAACTTCTGTGATGTTTTTCCAACCTTTAGGATGGCACAGCATCACTCTAATTGTTGTTCCTAAACATGTTTAAAGGTACCTTTTAAATACTCATAATCTATGAGGAACAGCCCAGGTATGAGGAATGCAGGGTTAGAAAATGTTTTATTAATTAAAGCACAGTATCTGCCCCCTTTCCCCCACTCCATAAAATAGCTTTGATATTCGCTTTAGATGCTTCAAAATAAATTAAAAGTACTTTTAATTCATTGTGGTGTTAAAAGTAGACATTAAAATTGTACAATAACAACACATAAAGAATTAGAATACAGACATGATGTTTTTCATATTTGTAAATCTGGATTGAGAAACAAAATCGAAGATTTAGACCTCAATTTAATAATCTTTTCAAATGATTCAATGTTAGAATTTTTTTTCCAAATTATTTATCTACAGAAATCACCATTAAAGTCTGTAGGAATTATTGTAGCTAATTTATTTGAAAAAAAAAAAAAATCATTTGGGAAGCTTATTAAATCAAGGCCTCAACGAGAAAATATCACAATTCTTAGATTTGTGTTTCATACATAAAAAAGCAAACAGAAAAAAAAAATCTATTAGAATATATTATATTTTTCATTGCGTGGAAACAAAAATCCTTGTTTGCAGCTGTCCTAAATGATGCTAATCATGCTAAAGAAATTTGTAAGAGTTGCTATGTTTAGTTCTAATTAGTGCTAATGCCTGATAAACATTCCCAGTTGTGTTCTCACCTTCTCTATAATTTAGAGATATGTGATTTCACATCAGTTTTCACAGACAGCCTTACTACAAAAAGTGCTAACATCTTTGCCAATCCAGTAGAGGTAAAATCTCACAGCACATCCAAAATTACTTTCATTTTTTCACAGTAGCTAGTATTCTTTTTTTCCCCCTGCCATTAATACAGTAAATGCCAGTGGGCTTTACAGTGCACTGATTTGCAAAATACGTCTCACCCGTTTAGTGTTGAAAGACATTTAAAATATAATTATGCTGCACTCTCTGTGTTCACATAGCTGCTAAGTGTCAAAGTGTTTATACAATAGATTAAAAAATAAACTTTATAGTTTTTCACCATATATTAGACCATGGGCATTTATCATTCTTTCTGTCTAGCTGTCTTAAGCCTTATCGTTTATGATTTTCAGACAACACCTAGCTGGGAATAGGGGGTGGTGTAGTTCAACAGCTGGGGTGCTATTTGTTGTCTAGTCCTGCAGCACATACTTGACTTGGAGTTAGGAAACCACATTCAGCATTTGGGTGGTATATGAAAAGTGCAGTCATATAGTATGTAGAATTAATTCATTCCGGGAGGAAAATCAACTAGTTTCTTTAGTTAATTAGTTGATTTCCATTTCTCTCCAGCTGCATTTAAATTGTACAAACTGAAGGGCAGGACTTTTCATTTAATTCCCATCACCATGAAGAATGTGCGTGTTTAGAAACACGTGATGAATCTGGTAAACCTAACTGGAATGCACTAGAGATAAGGGTTATTCACTTGTGTGAGCTGTGTAGATTTCAGAATAAATTCACAGTAAATTTCAAACTTTAGGTCAATCATCAAATGAAAAACACAGCTGTATTCTCTAGTTTTACATAAAATCAAATTTATTTGTGAATTCACTATTCATCAAGTCACACTCTATAGGATTATGCCACAAATTACAAATTGTTGAATTGTACCAATGTATTATACAAATGGCAAACAGATGATACAATATTTGATAGAATTTTGAAAATGAAAAAAATAGAAAATAAAATATATATTTTTTAAGTTTTTTTAACTTTAATGTACATTTTTGCAAAGCCTTTTTGTGACTTTGTTTTAAATATTCTGCTTTATCATTCACTCACCAGCTTTAACCGTATTCCCAAGGTAACAAAGGCGTGTGTCCTAATTCTAGGGAAACACCTCACGACTGAGATATAAACAAGAAAAAAAAATATTCACCATAAAGTGGATGGCACATTGAATATGTAACAAATATAACATATGTTAAAATGTAAAAAGCTTCACTGTGTGGTACATGCACCCACCCCAGTGAACACGCAGTGGAGCGCTGAAAAATATTTCCACTTACCCTCACTATATGGGTGAGGTATATCATCCTATAATTAAAATATATATAGAGAGTGTACACTCACATGTAGCTGAGCCACATAGGGCTGGCTCAGATCACTTTAGTGGTTGTGTACTACAGTGACACTGTCCCTCTTCCTCTGAGTCTTTGATGCGCTTGTGATACACAAAAACATAAGAGAGGATCTAGTGTAATAAGTCCAAAATAGGAGAAAGTGCATGTATGTGCAGTTGCAATCTGCTTACCTTATACAGAGCCCATAAAACTCGGCTCTAAGTTAGTAGACTTGTGTGTCTATAAAGGGGACACATACACCCTTCTTTGTAGCAGTAACAAGGTAGTGCAGTCTCCATGTACGATAAAAATATCTAGGTTTATTACAATATACTTAAAACAAAACAAATGTTCATACAATATAAAAACCCTCCAAGGAGCTCCCGAGAGGCGTTTTTCAATCGGTATAACTACCCAGGTATAACTTCCATTCAGAAATTTTCTTATTGGTCCGTTTCATACATTGTATGTCAATCCTCAGTGTCCCTGGTGATATATTTCACTCCCTGTTGGTGATATCGATCAGCATCACCTGAACCGGAAATGGCCAAGGATTGGCATACAATGTATGAAATGGGCCAATTAGAAAATTTCTAAACATTTAAAAGCAGGAAGGTATACCTGGGTAATTAGACCAATTGAAAATGCCGCTATGGTGGCGAAATGCGTCTCTGGAGCTTATTGGAAGGATTTTATATTTTATATAAATTTATTACTGGTATTTATAAAGTGCCAAGATATTCCGCAGTGCTGTACAATTAGGGAATATGAAGTTGTTATGGTAACAGAAGTGTCCCTCTAAAGAGAAAAGTGAATCTGAACAAAAAACTAAGCCACTGAAGAGTCCATATAAGATGGAAACTGCTGGATATCCTTTCACACCTTGTTTACCAGACTTTCTAAAAAATATAGCAGTCATGTTTGTAGAGCATTCCTTTCCTTAAAAGGAACCTGTAGTCCCGAAAATAATAATTATTTTAGGACTATAGATTCCCTTCTACCAATGTGTGCACTGTCCACCCCTCTTTGCTGCTAAAATTACACATTAACTAAAGATAACTTAACTTGCTTCCAGCACCGAATATTCTTATCCTACTTGGAGACTCCACTACCTTGTTCCTGCTACAAAAAAGGGTTTATGTGTCCCCTTTTATAGACACACAAGTCTACTAACTCAGAGCCGTGGTTTTTGGGCTCTGAATAAAGTGAGCAGATTGCAACTGGACATATATGCACTTTCTCCAATTTTGGACTTATTACACTAGATCCTCTCTTATGTTTTTGTGTATCACAAGCACATCAATGACTCAGAGGAAGAGGGACAGTGTCACCATAGTACACAACCAATGAAGTGATCTTAACCAGTCCTATGTGGCTCAGCTATATATACAGTCATATACACTATACTGTACATACTAATCTATGTTAGTATTTTTCATTATAGGATAATACATCTCACCCATATAGTGAGGGTAAGTGGAAATATATTCAGTGCTCCACCGTGTGTTCACTGGGGTGGGTGCACGTACCACACAGTGAAGCTTTTTACTATTGGTGTGAATATGAGGGATATTCACATGTAGGTGGTAGTAGCTCATCATCATTATAATACTGTACCTACTGTTTAAGCGCCTATTACACTACGTGTTACTTTTTGGTACGTTAAAATGTAACTTTTATTGATTTTAGTTAAAAAAGGATCTTTCCTGATGTCTACCCTCCACTCTTCCCCTCACAGTTCGACATTGATCGGAACTCTTTCTCCCTCGGGATCCCTGTGTCTGAAAAGAGGTCCTGCAAGGTAAGTAAAGTAACTGCCACACTCAGTTAGGGAAATCACTGCAGAATCTGGACATGGGACATTTATGGTTAAGGTGAGGGTTACAATTAGTGGTCCACACCTTTGTATAGGTTTGTATGTGACCCAAGGCATCATAAGAAGGTAGATCTGGGTTCCTCCATCCTGATGAACCATAATCACAAAAGGGTATTTAGCAGTAATTAGATGGCTAATTGTGATTTATTTATTTATTTATTTGCAAGTAAAGGTCACAGTAGTTGTGTAGTGGAGTACAAGGGGACCTCTTGAAATGGAGGAGGGGAAACCTTTTGAGAATGTGATTCATTTAAAAAAAAAAAAGGCAATATCCATTGGGAATCTTACAATAAATGAGAAAAGGTGCCTAAGACTGATTGAATGAAGACACATTTTAACTATAGCAACTAAAGGCTTTATTTTAGTTTGATTTGAATTATATGTTTAGTTTGTCTTACAGTTTACAGGTGGTATTTCTTTTCTTTTCTTGTACGTTCCATAGTTTTTTTTATAAAGAAGCTGAAAGACCAAAATGGCTTCAAGTGTTTCCTACAAAACAAGTGGAATTCATTCTTTTGGGAGAATTCATCATGCAAATGAGTATTCTGTGGATGCCCATAGTATAATAAGCATCTAGCAGAATAATTCATTTTCTTTTTCTTTCTTTCAAAACATATCACTGAACAAGCCAAGAATATTTAGATTTTATAAGCTGTGATGCATGTTGTTTTAATCAAAAATCTAATATTACATGCATTTATGGTAATATCCTTCCATTAACACATTAATTGTTTTTCCAGACAGCAAGTTTTTCTAGTTTCAGCTTCTATTTTATTTTAATTGGACTTTAAATAATTGGAATATATTATGAATTAAAAATGATTTTTACAAACAGCAACAAAGTCTTCTAATGGGTTTTATTTAACATAACTACATCTCTTTAAAATTCCAAATTCCAAATAAGCATTAGTACTAAGGGCTACTAAAAACTTTCTATCTAGAAAGCAATGCTTTAGATATTATTTTAGTAGCGGATTGCAGAGGAATTAATATATTTGCCAAGTAAGGAAGTATAAAGAGAAAGCAAAAGGGTAGTGAGAAGAGAGCCTTGTGGAACTCCAACTGAGACAGGATTATGGGAGGAGGTGTTATTAGAAAAAGAGACACTGAATGAAAGTTGGGAGAGATTGGACAAGAACCACAAATGGACAGTGTCACAGGGACAAAGGGAGTAAAAGAGTTTGCAGAAGGAGAAAATGACCAACAGTGACCAAGGCAGCAGAGGAGTATAGAAGAATTAGTATGGACGTATTGATTTAGCAACACTTAGATTGTTACTAACTTTAATCAGACCAATCTCAGTAGAAAGGGGGCAGAAGCCAGATTGAAGAGGGTCAAGGAGAGAGTTGGAATTGAGAAAGCATGTCCGTCTTTCCAGAAGCTTTGAGGAGAAAGGAAGTAGAAGGTAGCTATAAGGGGAAGATGGCTTTTTTAGGATTAGTAAGACAGTAGCATGCTTACAGGGAGCAGGGACAATGCCAGAAGAAAGACAGCATTTGAAGATATGCATTAAGGATGGCACAGGGCAATGGGAGAGAGATCTGATAAGTTGAGATGAAACAAGATCAAGCTGAAAAGTCTTGTGGCCAAATTAAAGTAGAAAGGCAGCCACCTCTTGTTCAGTAGCTGGAGATAAGGCCTGGAGAGTTGGAAAGGTGCAGTCCAAGTGTGATTGAGAGAGGGTGGAGAAGGGTGGATAATTATTTCCTTAATGGATTTCTCTTGCCAGAACTAACAGCTTTGTTTGAGGGGTGGCCACGGCAGGGTGATGAAGAGAGTTGAAAGTATCAAAGAGATGTCTGAGATTGTGGGACTAAACCAATGAGAGAGGAAATGTGTGGCTGATTAACTAGGGTGAGGTTTATGCTGTATGAGCACAAAATTAATTTGTAATGGAAATAATAAGATGCAAGATTTCCCCCAGCAGTGTTTAGTTGAACAAGAGAATCTCTGTAGGTAGTGGGTCAACTTAGTGTGCCATAGTTAGAGGCACATCCTCCTTGTGACGTTTGTTTGGAGTGGGGCTGTACTGTCCAAGGTAGAGGTGAGGGTAGTGTTGTACGAGGACAAGCACTTGGCTGCAGATGAATGGGAGTAACAGGCTGCCTGTTATATGCCACCCTCACCAGTAACCCATGATGCTTGGCTCAAGGCTTCTAGAAGCTTTTAGAAGATGATTTTTTGAAACTGCCGCAAAATACAGCAAAACCCAAAAACTATTTTTAAAAAGGGAAATAATGTAAAAAATATTCTAGCTCTGAGCACTTTCCGAAATATAGACTGTAGGGATGAACGCAATGTTGGCTTTCATACTTGTGGTAATTGCAAAGCGTGTAGACATTCTTATAAGATCTATAAACAATTTAGGAGTAAACAGACACTTGAAGTTTTTAAAATTAATAGTCAGATCTCATGTTCCTCCACACATGTTGTGTACCTGATCACTTGTGGTTGTGGTGCACAATATGTAGGGAGGACAGGCTAAAATAAGATATTTAGAACATTACAACAATATACACACAAAAAATTACCACACATTCGGTCCCCTTACACTGTAATTCATGTCCATCCTTTTCAGGCAATCTTAATTTTATTGCTATAGAACAAGTGCAATTAGATAAGAGAGGAGGAGATTTGATGTTAAAATTAAGGAAAAGGGAAGGTGGTTTTTTTAAATAATATTTGTATTAAATTTTGTATTAATTGATAAATTTTTCATTTTTTTAATTTATAATCTGTACTAGAGACTCCCCCTGTATCTTTTAGGGGATTTTTAGATTGTTCTTGATATGTAGGGTGACATAATGAGTCCTTCTGACCTTGTATCTGTCCATTTATCTTTCAAGTGATATATTTAGGAATGTATTTAAGCACTTATTCAGAGCATGTTAAACCTTCTGTTTTTATACTTTATTGCACAAGATAATTATAAGATTTTGATATATGTTTTCAATTTTATGTTTTTATTTACATGTAATTACCGAGCACCATCGGGACTTTGTATGAGATGATATTATGAATTTGTTGACATGCATCGCCATGAATGTAACGCAAGCGCTAAACCGGTCTCCAAGCAAATGGAATGCATACGTGCAACATCCGTACTGTATTTATTCATACCCAATAAATGTTTTAATTACCGAAAAGGTGTTATTCTTAATCCATACGGAGATTAACCTGTGGACTACAATTGATGGAAGATACCGGCTTGGGATTTTGATATGTCTAAATATCACTTCAATTTTGTAAGTGTTATCTATTAAAAGGCCAAATACAGCGATATGCCTAAATATCACTTCAATTTTATAAGTGTTATCCATTAAAACGCCAAATACAGTATATACTTATTTGTTCTGTCTTTTACTCTCTCCTACATGCCCATTCTTGTATTGAGGATTCTTTATCATCTCTAAAACATTTGATATGCCTACAATCAATACACGTTTGTGAGAGCAACTTTAAAAATTACCACTAGAAATTGTGTTTACTGTACTACTCTGTGAGTATTTTTTTGTTTCCTTTTACTGTAGATTCTTTTTTGTTTGTATACATTGTGGGGACTGGGAGGAGTCCTGTGATATATTCTACAGTTTTGAAGATTGTAGGTAAATTACCTTGTAAGGTTTTATTCACATATGGTGTGTTTTTCCACTTTATCAATTAGGGTGTTACTTTATATAATATATCTTCTAGAGTATGTGCAGTTAAGACTGTATGAGCAGTAATTTCTACATGGCTCTGCTCCCTAAGACTCAACACAGTGATCTCAGATTCTAGAAGACAAAATGTGAAGAGAGTATTATACAGGGCAGGTACAGACAAGCACACTGTGACAAACTGCTATGCACACACACTGACGGACACACAGACACACACGAACGCACACTGTTCCTACATACTCTACTATGCACAAACATAAACTTCTACGTACATGCACATACATGTACATCCTACTACAGACAGTGAGACAATGTCTACAAACACTAACAAAGACATACACTTATTCATACATATACACACAGACATAGAAACACACATACGTGCACATTATGTGTATGTATATATTTGTTTTTCTTAGCATATATATATAAATCTCTTTTTTGTTGAGGTTTTAATGAGAAGACTTTGGCTATTCCTGTGCTTATGGATGTAAATAGAGCCACAACAATACAGTAAATATTTACATTAAAGAAAGGACATTCACTATACTTCAGGTATCTGCGGCCTCACACTGTTGTTTTGTCCTGCTGGTTGTTACTGCTCTGTAGACAGCAGGAAAACATGATTATATATTCAACCGGCAGCACAATGAAGAAAAGCATAAAAGTTTTCAAAGTAAATTTAGACAAAAGTAAAACTTGTTTTTTTAATTAAAAGCAACATAGAGTATAATTAAAAGCAGAGTATTCCTAAGACTAAGTGTGATTTTGTCCACATGAAATGTGAGGTGGCACTTACCCTCACTGTGTGTTATCCTGTGTGTTATAGCTGCTTTTAATTATGAAGTAATAAAGAATCAAGTTTTAATTACAACTGAATTTACTCTGAAAATGTTTTGCTTTTCGCAGTGGAATGTGTAATAATTGAGGGGCAAACTTTGCATTCATGGATGTTCCACATTGTTGCAGATTTTAAATCCACCTCTGCCCTCCAGAAAATAATATTATATAATGATAGGATAATATGAGAATTCGAAGTGACTTTTTAAATTTAAAGGGAGATTATAGTCACCAAAAAAAAAATAGCGTAATAAAGTACTTTTGGTATATAGATCATTCCTATGAAGTATCACTGCTCAATTCTATGCCATTTAGGAGTTAAATCACTTTTGTTTCTTTTTATGCAACCCTAGCCACACCTCCCTTGACTGTGACTGAGACAGCCGGCATAAAACGTTTTTTTTTTTCAATCAGATGTTAACTGACGTTAGAAGTATTTCTCTCCTGCTCTGTAAATTTAACTTTAATCACATACAGGAGGCTCCAGCAAGGTCTAGCAAACTACTAACAGTGAAGCGGAGCCCTAGTCTTGGAAGTGACTTTCCTCCGCTGGATCACCAAGTGTAGAATCAGGAAAAGAAAATGGCAAGTAAGTAGCCCCCCTCCTCTCCAGCAACTGGACAACACACAGTTCTGGGAGTACAACTGATTTTATTTCTGCCACACACAGCTTTTATGCATTGCCCCTAAGTCAAGAATACAAGATTTTCTTTCCCAAGAGCCTCTGTGTTTGAGAGATAATTGAACTCCAATTAGTATAACTCAATTCTCTCTCAAATACAGAAACTTACAGATATTTTTAATATACCCCAAAAATACATGAACACAGTACAGGAACCCAACAAAAATCATGTTACCGAATAGCCCCAAACTAAGTGCACAACATATACAAAAAGCGCTCAGATCTTTTTGTTAGAAAGAAAGTTATAATCAAACACAATTTTGACTGACCACTCGGCTTTCGGGGGTTCCTGTGTGAACACCGACGAACGCTCCCCCTAGCTGCTATGGAGCAAATGCTCCCCCTGTTTGGTAGATCCTATCTCCCGAACACCGTTTGTCTAGGTCAGCATTTTTCAATTGGTGTTCCAGGGTTCCGCCGTGATTATCGCAAATCAGGGGCCTGGTCAGGTGCCGTGGCCCTTTAAGAGCATGACCGGGCCCCTGTACTATCGGCCGGTTGGGAGGAAGTGATAGCACTTCCTCCCAACTTCACAGAGTTGCTGCCGCGTGGTAGAGAGGGAGGAGGCCCTGTCACTGGGGGGCAGAACCAATGGCCACCCAGAGAGTGAGCAGCATGGATAGCAGAGGAGAGACTGGAGTGAACAAACAGCAGCTCACTCCCATGAGCCTCAGCCAACATCACCAGGACCACAAGTAAGCCACCCTCCTGGACACACAAGTTAACAGGAGGGTGACTCTGATGTATGTCATATTGTGTGTATGTGCCAGTGTGTGTATGTGTCACTGTGTGACAGTGTGTGGCTGCGTGGGTGCCAGTGTGTACCTGTGTGTCAAGGTGTGTGAATGTGCCTATGTGTGTGTGTGTATATGTCAGTGTATGTGTATCTGAGTGTTTGTCAGTGTGTATATCTGAGTGTGTGAATGTGTCAGTGTTTGTATTTGTGGGTGCAAGTGTGTGTATATGTCACTGTGTGTATCTGGTGTGTGCATTTGTGAGTCAAGAAGTGTGTATCTAAGTGTGTGTATGTGTATCTGAGTGTGTGTATCTGTGTGTCAAGGTGTGTGTGTCAGTGTGTGTTAATCTGTGTGTCAGTGTGTGGGTGCATGGGTGCTAGTGTGTACCTGTGTGTCAAGGTGTGTGAATGTGCCAGTGTATATCAATGTGTTTGTATGTGCCTATGTGTGTGTGTGTATATGTCAGTGTGTGTGTGTGTCAGAGTGTATATCTGAGTGTGTGAATGTGTCAGTGTTTGTATGTGTGGGTGCAAGTGTTTGTATATGTCACTGTGTGTATCTGGTGTGTGCATTTGTGAGTCAGGATGTGTGTATCTGAGTGTGTGTATGTGTATCTGAGTGTGTGTATCTGTGTGTCAAGGTGTGTGTGTCAGTGTGTGTATCTGTGTGCCACTATGTGCCAGTGTGTGTATCTGTGTGTTATATACATACACACACACACACACACACAGATACACAAAAATACAAACACTGGCCCATACAAATACAGATACATACACCTTGACACATACAAACACAGATACACACACTTTGACACATAGATGCACACACCTTGACACACAGATACATACACACACAGATACATATACACACACACAGAGATACACACTGTGTGTGTCAAGGTGTGTGTATCTGTGTGTCAATGTGTGTATCTGTGTGCCAGTGTGTGTATCTCTATGTCAGATACACAGACACACACACAGATACACACGGACACACAGATACACACACTGGCACATACAAACACAGATACACACACTTTAACATACAGATACACACACTTTGACACACAGATGCACACACACACACACAGATACACACTATGTGTCAAGGTGTATGTATCTGTGTGTCAAAGTGTGTGTATGTGTGCCACTATGTGCCAGTTTGTGTTTCTGTGTGTCAGATTCATACACACTGACACACAGATGCACACACTGGCACATACAAACACAGATACACACACCTTGATTCACACAAACACACACACACATACTGTGTGTCAAGGTGTATGTATCTGTGTGTCAGTGTGTGTATCTGTGTTCCAGTGTGTGTGTGTGTATCTGTGTGTCAGATACACACACACACACAGATACACATTGACACACAGATTTACACACTGACACATACAAACACAGATACACACACCTTGACACACAGACACACACCGGCACATACAAAAAAAAGTTTCACATTTTTTTTACCAAGGAAAGGAGGGGGACTGGTGGGGTTCCACAATGTTGATACACTATGTCAAAGGGTTCCATGGGAAAAATTTATTGGAAACCCCTGGTCTAGGTGGTTGGGAATTGGGACGGGCAGCAGTACCATCTTTGCCCGGATTCGCAGAGACTCAAGGCTGAAAACAGTTCCAGGTGTTCCACGACCAAGTACCGCTGCCTGCGTTCAGGAGACAAAATGCCAGCCACCCAGGAAATGGACTCAAGCGAAGGTGTTAAGTCGTTCATTTGTTATTAACAGCAAGGGGAGGTCGTTGTTCACTGGGTGGAGGGGGAGAGGGGGCATAACAAGACCAATCTCACCACATTGCATTGGAGAAGCCTGGTTGCTCGACTGTCTCCCCTTTGGACACACAGCTCTGTCTGTTCACTGCTTGACCCTCAACACAGAGCTTTGTCTCATTCTTGGGGGGATTTATTGTATGCTGTTCCAGTTTGACTGCTAGGAGTGTAAACCTATTCGTATGGTTTTTCCTATTTGGCTGTTTACGGCATTCATATGGTTTCCTGTTCGGCTGATTGGTGTTCTGCAGTAGCTGTGCCTGTGTCTCTGGAAGGGTAAGATCTACTAAATGGTGGTTTAACCCTTTTATGCCTGGGGGTGCCGTTACAATTGGTGGCAAGTGGCGGGATCGTTCCTACAGCCAGAAGGACAGCTACAGGAGACACCATTTCTTTGGATTTACAAATTGAGGGCAACGCATGTCTAAATACAGCGACCCTGACAGCACCAGGATGGAACCAGCAGTGGAGTACGATGAGGGTGTCATGGATGACCGAGATGCAGTTCGCAAAGGCATCTGGTACCAGGCATTGGGCATTTTGGAGTACCAGCGGGGCGAGAGACTCCCCAAGGAAGACCAGCGATTGCAGAAGCGACTAGCCCTGCGGATGCCCTTCCTGGGAGAGCAGCCCCTGGAGGAATGGGTGAAGGAATTGGAGCTTCTGGTATGGCAGGAGATTTGGCGGGAAGAAGCCTACCAGGCGCTCTGGTGGTATGGGGCACAGTACCTGCCCTGGACAGTCGAGCATGACAAGCCAGAGGGAGAGGAGTTTGATGGTCCTGGTTTGTTATGGGAGGCTTTTTCAGAGCCTGAGTTTGGGAGCTCTACACAAACCCGGTTCAGTGATCTCTTGGAGTGGAGGGAGAGCAGGTATGACTGGGACGACACTCATGAGATTGAGAAAGACCTGGTCCACCAAGTGACCCAAGAGATGGAGCTGGAGCAGGGCTACCAAGATCTGTTCCACTCCAGTGACAAGGCTCAGCAGGGAAGCGGAGACCCAGATCCATACCCATTCAGCTGGGCAGATATTGCAGAATGTTACTGGGAAGAACCCCAGGTGGCTGGTGGAGATGGGACCGAGGTCTCTCCACCGGTCCTGCAGGGAATTGGGAGCCCAGTCTCCATTCCCCAGCAGGAGATATTGCAGGGAATTGGGAGCCCAAGCTCCATTCCCCAGCGGCAGGCTGAGTTACAGGGGACAGAGATAGTTGCTTCTGTCCCCCAGCAGCAGAGTGAATTGCAGGGAATTGGGAGCCCAAGCTCCATTCCCCAGCAGCAGGCTGAGTTACAGGGGACAGAGATAGTTGGTCCTGTCCCCCAGCGGCAGTGTACCTTGCAGGGAGAGGAGAGCAGCGTCCTCCCTCCAAAGTGGCAGGGTGAGCTACAGGGATGCTGGGCAGTCGGCTCAGATCCCCAGAGGCAGTGTGAATTACAGGGAATTGGGAGCCCAGTCTCCATTCCCAGTGGCAGTATGAGTCATTGGGAATTGGGAGCCCAGTCTCCATTCCCCAGCGGGACATACAGCAGGGAATTGGGAGCCAAGTCTCCATTTCCCAGTGGCAGAGTGTCCTACAGGGAATAGAGAGCCCAGTCTCCTTTCCCCAGCAGCAGGACTCTGTATTGGGAACAGAGACAGTCGGTCTCCGCCCCCCGCAGCTGGAAATATATATGGGAGAGGAGCTTGTTACCCCCTCTCCCCAGCGGCAGCTTAACATACCAGGGGGGGACAGTAAACCCCACAACCATGCAGATGGGGCCGTGGTCTCTGCACTTACAGCACAGGGGGTAGGGACGGTCGGTTCTGCCCCCCAGCGACAGGGCTGTTTAGCCAAAGGGGAGACAGTCGGTCTCCCCCTCCAGCAACCGAGTGGTGTAACCAAAGGGGAGACAGTCGGTCTCCCCCTCCAACAACCAGGCTTCAACCAGGCTACTCCCTTGGTAGCGCTGGCACCAGGGCAGAGTACCTCTGGTCTCTTCCCACTCAGCAACCCACCAAGTTAGCTTACCAGTCACCCACACAGCCGTGGTGAGGCACCTGGACATGGACAAAGTTCTCCTCTACCCAGGCGTAGTAACCATTTATTGTGGGTGGGCTGTATTACTGTTTGTGTGTTGTGGGTGGGCTGCTGGACTAACAAGGGCACTGACCGGCAGGAGGTCAGATACCCTGTTAGTCTGTTTGGAAAAGGGGAGAGATGTGACGAGACCAATCTCGCCACAACAAGGGACCACACTCAAGTCTTTCAGGAGACAAACAAGGGGATATGGACAACCAAACATAAGGGAATGGAGTCTGCTACAAACAGGGCATGAGATAAGAAATTCTAAACTAAACAGACTGTTCAATAAAGGAAGTATAAACATTAGATCTCACTTTATAGGAAGTATTTATTAAGTTTGTGCATGTTACATGCTGGGAGTTGTGCCTAGGCTGTATAAACAAAGTGATTTAACTCCTGAATGGCAGAGAATTAAGCCGTGAGACTGCAGGGGCTTGATCTATACACCAAAACGGCTTCATTAAACTAAAGTTGGTGACTATAGTGTCTCCTTTAACGGTAAAAATAGCCAAACTGGAAACATTCTCCGTTAGCAATGCTTTCAGTCTGACTACTCTGGCCTTAAATCAGGAATGCACTTGAATTGACTTTGAATTCTAACTTTTGTAAATAATCCTGTGTGCCTTTAAACTGTTACTTGAAGGCACTATAGTATAGTATGTATATTTTCTAGTTCATAGTGTGTTGCTATAGTTATTTACATTTGCCTGTTTCTTGGAGACTATGTATTATATACATAGTTCCTTTCTTTTTTTTAAGGGTATTTTTCTATACATTTTTTTTATACATATACTATTATTAAAAACATCTACATTATTATTCATTCAAATCATATTAAACATGACTTGTTATTTCCAGGCCCCAAACAGTGCTTATTCATGAAATATAACACATCCAATTACAAACTACATAGATACCTCTAAATTTAGATCAATCAAACAGGAAAACCACCTAATGGAAAACACACTATAAGCATGGAGAAAACAAACTATTTCAATTCTTTCTCTTTTTGTGTTCTGCTTCTTGAAACTTTTTGACAGTTCTAATTACAAGTTCTTTTCTCTACAGCTCAGGAACCAAAGTCACTCTTCCGTTGCCGTGTCTCCTGGGAAATTTCCTCTGCAGTACTGTCAAAATCTCCCGACAACTCTGTGTTCTTCTCTGCTCCTCTGAGCTGGAAAAAGAGTTTTGGGAGTGAATAATTATTGACTTAATTGGAGGGATGTCTCTGTATTACATAGTCAGCAATGTTGATAAGGCAGGATTGGATGAGAGATACACAGTGGGAAATTGCATTTGCTGTACTTGATCGTACATCACTTGCTGAAGAAGCCTAAGTTTGATGCTACATGTAAAACTTTAGAACTAATAACAAAGAAGGTATATAGTGTTGGAATGAACTGTAAATTAAGTGATTTGACCCTTGAAAAGCTTTGAAACTCATTATTCCATTTTGAAGAGCATTGTTCCATTTAGGAATCAGCATTGCAAATAAGTGGTTCCACTGGTAAAATTTTAATTTTATGTGGTCACACTCAGTTAAGCCTATAATACTAATGATGTTTAACAGGTAAGCTCATATAGTAACTAGCTAGTGAAAAAAAAACACATTCAACTCAAAAGTCTTCAAATACAATTTGATATAGTAGGTGATGGATCACATACATTATTTGTGTGAAGATGAACAATAAGCTGTATACACCCCTTGTTGTCAAAAAGTTAATGAGAAAATGTTTAATTATTTAAAGTCATGAAACAGCTTTTTAACGTTTACAAAATATAAACTAATAATTATTACTGGCAAATCCCTTAGCAATAAGTATCTCTCTTTTATTTTTTTCAAAATCTAATTAACATGCATAAATGTAATTGATCACTATCATGCACTTTGTACTAGACCTAAAAAATGACTGGTGTAGCATTTAATGATACAATTAATAAAATAATTAATTCCTACTTTTAAGACCCTCAGGTTACTGGGGTCAGTAGGAGTTCTGTGAATTCAGGATTTACAGTAGGAAAAGAAGTCACATGGTTTAATTATTTGTATGTCTCCCCAAGCCCTCTTTGTTGTGTATACCAGCCCCTTTGTATGTATCTTTCTGCCCTTCCAAAGCCCCTTTGTATCTCTTTCCCCAGCACCTTGTCTCTGCCCCCTAGGCCCACTCTGTTTCTCTTCTTCCCCTTTTCCCAGCTCCTCTGTAAGTCTCTTTTTCCCCTTCCTCAGCCCCTTTGTGCGTCTCTTTCTTCCTCATCTCATTTGTGTCTCTCTTTATTCCCCCAAGCCCCTTTGTGTGTCTCATTCCCATACTTGTGTGTGTGTCTTTCTCCCCCAGTTCCTCTGTGCATATATATTTTTTCTCCCCAGCCCATCTGTATGTCTCTTTCCCCACAGCTCCTATGTGTGACTCGTTCTCACCTTCCCCATCCTCGCTAGGTGTCTCTTGTTTCCCTTCTCCAGCCCCTCTGTCTGTCTCTATCTCTCTCTCTAGCCCCTAGAGTACTCTTCCCAAGCCCTTTCGTGTATCTCTTTCTCCACTTCCCCAGTCCCTCTCTGTGTTTCTTTTCTCCAGTCTTTTTGTCTCTGTTACAGAGGCCCTCTGTGTTTCTCTTTTCCCCCTTCCCAGTCCCTTTGTGTCTCTCTTTTTTCTGCCCCAAAACCCTCTGTGTCTCTTGCAACACTTTCCAAGACTGTGTGTCTCCTTCTTCCTCAAGCATCTTTTGTGTCTCTTTCTTCCACACAGCCCAGCTGTGTCCCCCCCCCCCACCCCCACAGCCCCTCTTGGTATCTCTTCCCCACAGCCCCTCTATTTGTTTCTTTCTCCCACCAGCCCCTCTGCATGTCTCTTTCCCATTCAGATCCATTTTGATCTCTTCCACTCCCCACCTGTCCATTTGTGGTCCCTTCTCTCATGCTTACATCCTTGTAGCATGCCTGACCACGGTAAAGGATCTTCTACATCCTCTATCTGGTCTGACAGGATGCTGTTTTTGCTCACAGTGAGCACTTCCTGTCAGACCGGGTAGATACAGAAGATTCACTCCTGCGGTCCACTCGGCCATGCTACACTAAGTGACTGTCAGGAGGGGAGCGGTGTGCTGTGTAGACTGCCCTAGTCACAGATTCTCTTACAGCGTGCTTTGCAGAAATCCAGTTGTACACAGATCTGTCCCTGACTACTTGACCAGGAGACAGGCCTTTGGAGCCATCACAATGGCTCTCTGTAAAGCCTGAATTATATATAAAATGTGTTTAGCTGCCTGACTACTCATCAGGGGAAATGGAGTGGAAAAGAAAAGTTCTCACTCCCGATTAAGGCAGGAAGTAACACCTGCAATGGAATACTCCACTACCCATGGAGGATATACCTACAGAGCACCCAGCAGATTTTTTTTGCACCTATCTCCAGACACTGGCAGAAGGTTGATACTGCCAAGTGAAGCCCTCATAGGACATTTTTCCTACTTGGAATTCACCTACTTGGAAATGTGGTCCCTGTTCAAATATCTGTTGGTTTTTGATGTACTGTTTTCTTTTTATGTTCCTGTCAATGTTATTCTCCTGTGGGATTTATAATATAAAATTATAGACTGATCATTTCTTTGTCAGTGGGCAAACGTTCAAAATCAGCAGGGGATCAAATACTTTTTTCCCTCACTGTAGGGACAAAGGTCTCTCACCATCTCATACATTTCAATATATGTATATGTATATTGAAATGTATGAGATGGTGAGAGACCTTTGTCCATACATATATATTAAAATGTATGAGATGGTGAGAGACCTTTGTCCATACAGTGAGGGGAAAAAAGTGTTTGATCCCCTGCTGATTTTGAACATTTGCCCACTGACTAAGAAATGATCAGTCTATAATTTTAATGGTAGGTGTATTTTAACAGTGAGAGAAAGAATAACAAAAATAAATCTAGAAAAACGCATGTCAAAAAAGTTATGGATCAGGTTTGTTGTTCCAGCACATCCCACAGATACTTAATCGAATTGAGATCTGAGGAATTTGGAGGCCAAGGCAACACCTTGAACTCTATGTCATGTTCCTCAAACCATTCCTGGACATTTTTTGCAGTGTGGCAGGGTGCATTATCTATTGCCATTGCCATCAAGGAACACCAACCATTGCAATGAAGATGTGAACGTGGTCTGCAACAATCTCTAGGAAGGTTGTATGTGTCACAGAAACATCCAAATGAATGTGAGGACCCAAGGTCTCCCAGCAGAAAATTGCCTAAAGTATAACCTGCCTTCTTCCCATAGTGCATCCTGCTTGCAACTATTCCCCAAGTAAACAACACACACGAACCCTGATCTAAAATAAAACGTGATTCAGCAAACCAGGCAACCTTCTTACACTGCTCCATGACCCAGTTCTGTTGCTTATTTCCCCATTGAATTTTCATCATGGGCACTCTGACTGGTCTGTGACTACGCTGCCACATATACAACAAACTGTGATACATTGTGTGTACTTATACTATTCTGTCATGGCCAGGATTACGTTTTTCAGCAATCTGAGCTACAGTAACTGTTTTTTGTTTGACCGGACCAGATGAGCTTGCCTTCACTCCCCATGTGCATTAATGAGTCTTGGTAGCTTATGTAGTATACTTGGTGCATTACTAAGCTTAGTCATCTATTCCCTGATGACATTTTTCTGTATTTAGTTTTACGGTTTGTAAATATCTGTTAAGAATGTAGTTCTTTTTGTCTTTTTTAGTATATTTTGTCGTAGCTGTTCCACATGCTACACCCTCTGGATGGTGCTCTGCTACCACAGTCACCTTTTAAGTTATGACATCACATTAGTCTTTAGGTGGAGTAGTTTCTTCCTGACTTCTGACACTAGACTATCTTGCAAATCCAGGATCACCCTTAACTAAGTTCTCCACTCTTGTAGCACACAAAGCATGATAACAGGAAAAGACCAAAAAAAAAAAAAAGGAATAAACAGGAAATAAAAGCAAATACAATTAAAACCAAATTATACAAAACACACACAACAAACATGAAAAAACATTGCTGAAAAGGGACAATGCATGTGGTACCAAGTGACATGAATGTGCATGTGGAAATTCAACCTTGTGATTGCACTTCATTATTATCAGTGCTCCCTCACAATATGTGTCTTCTTTGTTAGCTAGTAGGGTTGCAAACCAAATACTCCCACTTCACCAAACCTTCAGGGATCATGCCCCGCTCCCATTTTCCAAAATGTAAGCAAGTATTAACTTTGAAAAATAGATGATGGATGAATGCAATAAAGGCCCCAACATTCAGCACAAACAAATACAATCTCCCCACACAGGTCATCTTACACACATTATCACACATAAATACAACCACAAGCACGACTCATTACAAAATTAATCCCTGCACACACAAACACACACATGTGCATTCACAATTCCAATTACACAAATATAGCCCCAAATGATTACCAGGTATCGTATAACCTTTAAAATCTCATTACCAATTTCTACTGTAAACACTTATAATAGACTGTAGATAAACAATTGCACTAATATTACTTCATAACAAAATGCAGTGTTATAAACAAATCATTTTTAAACATTAACACATTTTTATATTGGTCTGTTCTCCAAAATAACAGTATACACAAGTCTACATTCACAGCATTCTAATTCAGGAAGCCTCTCAATCCACTGGCAGAATTTGTAGATCTATTTTTATATCCAGTAATAGAAGACCCAGTTTCCATGACATATTATGATCTAAACATAGACTTGATCTAATAAGATAGAGCGTGGTAAGCGTAGTTACAGTTAAATATATAAATGTACTTTATTCCCTCACTAGAAATAGCACAGAAAAACTTAATGTAGCTCTTTGTATAATGGTTGGATATAGATCAGCATGCAAGTTAGGGTGATTGGAGTGGTATTAAAACCATCCAGTTATTTAAAAATGCAAAGAATTTTGGGATAGTGTACAGGTAACTTTTTTCTTTTTTTTGTACTATGAATAATGAAACCATTGCTGCCACCCAGGAGTTGTGGGAGTTTGAGCACAGGGATTAGTTTTGTATGTGTGTATTTGCTTTTGTATTATACATATTACAGCAGTGGCGGATCCAAGGGGGGTGGAGGGGACACTGCCCCCCTATACACACTGTCCTCATACACACACAGCCGCCCTTACACACACTGCCCCCCTTACAAACACTGCCCCACCTTACACACACTGTCCACCTTACACAAACAGTCCACCTTACACACACAGTCCCCCCCTTGCACACACTGCCCCCCCCCCCTTACACACACTGCCTGTTTCAGGAGATATAAGTAACAATGCCCTCCATACACACACTGCTCCCCATACACACACACACCCCTCACACAAAAAACAGCTCAAAGCAGCAAGGTGAATTTGTGTAGGACTCATCCAAGCGATTTGTCTTTATTGGGCTGGTGAACTTGCACTTTAATGGGCAGTTATTGAAAAATGCAGAGGGATTTGGGATAGTGCACAGGTAACATATTTTGGATTTTGTCCTATAAAACGTAAATTATATTTTTCAAATAATTGCTTAACAGCACACATAATAAAACTCCACAAAGCACCCTCACCAGCTTTTCCAACAGTAGCCCTGACTAAATAATGCTCATTTTATTACGATAGTTTTTAGGAAGGGTGTTTACTTATTTTTTTATTATTGTGACTTAACCATGAAATTTCAATTTTTATGCTAAACCACTTGAAATTCAAAAATTCACAGTTACAGCCATTTTTCCAGTTTCTCCATTTGGTCTAAACATTTAAATTCCCTTGCCATTTCCTGAAAAGAAATGTACATTTAGCAGTAAAATAGCAGACTCATTGAAAAAAATCCCAAAATTACAATCCAGTATCAGGAACAGTTTAGTAATGTTTTATGATTTTCGTTTTCAAAGCGATCACAATCTACCATCTACTGACCATTTTACGGCCAGGAACACTTCCAAATTCAGGAACTATTATTGTGTTGAAACTGAACCAAACGTGTTATTTATATGTTAATGTTGCAAGCTCAATTGTCCAGTATTGTAAGGTTAAAACACAAATGAGTATGGCTATCCATCATTATGCACAGTGTACTGGTGATGCTATTAGGTGACAGGAGTGTAATAACCTATCATTTTTCACATTACAATTGCAGTGTGTGTGTTTCATTAAAGGGACACCATAGGCACCCAGACTACTTCATCTCACTGTTCCCTTAATCCTGCAATTGTAATTAGAGGCGCCTCTAGTGACTGTCTGGTAGATTATTGCAGTTTTTCAATAACTACAAAACAGATGATACTCGAAAAATTAGAATATCGTGCAAAAGTTCATTGCATGGCCATGCAGGTAAGAAAAGTTATGTTGAAACTAACAGGAAAGGATGCCAAACGTGTAGAACTGGAGTATGTAATGATCAGCTAACATGCAGTCACTCATGGGCACTGATTGTGTGTTAGAGAGATGTTCTTATGTGTAAGACCCTGGAAACACAAAATTACAATCAGAATCTGGCAATTCCAAAGCGGTGACGAACAAACAAGGCCCAGGTGTACCAAAGATAGAAATAATAGCCACTGGGTGGCCATGAACAAGGACTGGACTACCAAGTAGTAGGCAGTAAAAAATATGGATTAGTCATGAAAGTAGGAAACAGAAAATGGTGAAAGTAGGAGCATCAGAGGATGGTATTTTTAGCCCTACAAAAAATCCTACACACCCAAGATAATACACATTTGAATTAACCTCCATTATGATCTGAATAGTAGTTTTTCAGTCTCAGGTAACTATTGCACATTTTCCTACTGCATTACCCATTCAATGGCAAGGGTTCTAACCTTGACTCTACCTTAGAATTTACCTTTGCCTTCTGACTTGTTCAACTCTTACCCATTTAACCCCTCATACTCCACCCTTGAAGCACTAAGTGGCCACGCCATGTCAACACTATAAAACCAGGTCAATATACTGGTGTGTCTTTTAAATCATTCAGGATCCGATGGCTCAATATAAACCAAGTGAATGTTATTATTAATCCTGTTAGACTAAACATATTTGAAGAGCCTATATCCAAGAATATAGAGCATTTATAAAAAAATTACCCTACGATGTTTAAATAATTAGTTCATCTGCCTCCTAGCAGCATCCCCAGCTATCAGTAAGAGAGGAGAAAACTTCAAACTAATTATGGAATGTTGTGTTTGTAGCACACACGTATCATTAGTCCTTAATCAATGTCAAATTGCAAGGGGGCAAGTTTGGTGCCATCCCATCTGTCCCATTTGGACTAGAGTGCACTGCTAAATTCCAAAATGACCTATAAGAAGTTATTTTGCACATACGTGACATTTACATGGCAATTTATTTTGTACATGTATGCAGAAGTCTTCTATTGAAAAATTTAAATTGGTAACTGTTCAAAATTAGAAAATGTATACCGTTATGTTTCTTTGTTGTGGAGTTATCATATGGGATTCCATTACAGCGTGGGCAGGAGTCTGTTTAAATGGCACATTGATCTACCTTAGTTGTTTTTAAGGTAATGCATTTTGTAACATTTTTTTTAGAATCAGTAAATCACTAAGCGCAAAGAGATCACAATCAGATTCCCAAGATTGTTAGCAACACTGTTTCTTACAAGTGTTGTAATCAACTTTATATAAATTCAGTAATTGCAATAACTTTGACATCCCTTTCTTCCTTTGCCTTCTGTAGCATACTTATACTTCAAGTGCT